GGGGGGGGCATAAAAGCAGAATTTTAATGTGAAGACATGTTTTGCTATAATCATTAGTTTTAGAAGCATTGTTAGTGTAGCGTGTGTGCAGAGTCCATTTCCCACATCTTTCCTCAAGTATCTTCTATTTTTATCATGAATTCCCTTTTAATCAACTGTAGGTTATTTAAAATAAATTCCTACAACTTAACGGAAACTTAGTGCCTGCCTCTTTGTTACCCAGGGCTCAAGGCCAGTGTAGGGACCCTGGGCTGGGCTTGGGATGTGGTCTGACCATGCTGCTCTCAGGCAGGCTCCTCACCTGGTGCTGAGCCTGGCCTGGCAGGTGATAAACATCTGTCCTGCTGTGGATGTGGCTCCCAGGGGATCCAAAGTCCACACCCCTGGGGAAGAGAGGCAGGCCCAGGTAAGAAGGGAGGGTACAGAAGACCCAAGAATTGTATCTGAAGCTGAATATGGACCATGTGTCTTCAATAAGATGGAACAGGTATATGCTAGAGGCTTTCTTCCCCGCCCCCCTCTCCGTAAGTGCTGGCCACAGCAGAGGGAGCTGCATTGGGTTTGCTGATGTGGCTGATATTAAGTCAGAATGGGCAGAATTCAGGACACCAGGCTAATTGGAGCACTATTCCAGAAAACCTCTCCTAGGAGAATGTAAGCTTTTTACTTACATTGGTTGGCTGGCTGGTTGAAAGTGGGAGGCAGATATCTGTAGACTACTTCCTAATGTTCTCGGTCTATGAAAATTGCTTCTCTCCTCATCCTAGATAGAACAAAACCTGGAATGGAGAAGGAAGCCAAAGTGGTCAGAATCAGTTGCTTAGGTATGTCTGGGGGTGAGACCTATCACTTTGCTCGGCCTGGGCGTAGATAGGCTGGTGGGCCACAAGTTCTAGAGCTCCTTCTTGGCAGTGTTTTATTGGTCTGGGAGGGAGGCAGCATTCACCTCAGGGAATAAAGGGGGACAAGCAGCCCTCATAATAGAGCCAAGAGAGTTGTGACCCAGTGTTTTTTTAATTCTGTAGGAATGAACTAACTAGACAACTGAACGTTTCCAATCAGTGTGCTTTATGACTGTTGGGTGAGTGTGGAATAAGTAAGTTGACCTCAGATCCAGTACTTGAACAGAACTTGCAAACCTAGAAGACAAACTTTGGTCTACAACTAGAAATCTGATGGAGGAAACCTTAGGCCAGGCATAAGATCTTTCTGATGAGCAAAGTGTTAACACCTACCTTTTCCTGCAAATCTTCTGAGGAGAAGTGTAGTGCAGCTTGGTCAGGAAGGATTGGGAAGAGCATCCTGGGCACTGCAGGTCTGGAGAGCAAGGTCAGAGACTGGGACGCTCATTTACCTGAGAGTCAGAAGAAGCTGACCACAGGGAGTTGGGACCAATTCAAAGGGCCTTCCTTGAAGGATACATGAAAGGGAAGTCACACCCTTGCCTATTAATCCAGTAGCTGTGTTCCTTCTTCACACGGACAGCCACGTTTTAAGAGCAGAAAGCCGAAAAGCTCCCCCCATTGGGTGGTACCCAAGTCCAGCTGTGGGCACAGGCAGATGGAAGAGTTGTCTGCGAAGAACGAGCTTCCATGTGCAGATGTTGGGGACTGACTTAGCTTCTCTCAGCCCTCATGTCTGGTCAGCAATCCTGTCCATTCTCCATTCGTAAAGCGGTCAAATCCATCCTTGACCTTCAGATCAAAAAGCAAAACATTTCCACCTCCCATCTCCTTTTCACAAATAAGCGGCTGGATCAGGGCATCTATACACTCCCAGCTCGTGCCCCTAAATTATTTTCTGGCCCCACTGACCAAGGTGACCAGTTACGTTGGGAGAGATCAGGTCAATGGGCAGGCTCTTCATTTTGCATCTTAAGTGCTTTGTGGCAGTGGGCATTGCTGGCCATCTCTTTAATAGCTTTTATTTGGGTATAATTTATATGTAAAATGAACATATCTCATGTAATTTTATCCAATGGGGCAGTCAGCACAGTAAATCAGCTTTAGAACTTCTTAATCCCCCTCGGATCCCTTCTGCCTATTTATGTCCTCCTGCCCCCAGCTGCTGCCCGTTTATGAATGTGCCTTCTGTGGACAGTTTAATAAAAACGGAACAACTTCGGACCATTCTCTTTCCTAGTACCATCTCTGGCTTCCATGAGGGCCCGCCCTCAGGTGGTTTGACTCCTGGCTTCCTGTCAGGCTGAGTTCCATAGGAGCCCTGATGGCATCTTAGTTATAAGTTGGGCAGCTAACTGTAAGCTCAGCAGTTTGAAACCACCACCCACACCTTGGGAGAAACCTGAGGCTTTCTACTCCCATAAAGACTTACAGCTTGTTAACTCACGGGCACAGTTGTTCCCTGTGGTACAGGGTTGCTATGAGTTGGCATCTACTCAATGGCAATGTGCTTGGTTTTTTTAATGAGTTCCTTAAATGTCCTCAAGTTTGTGTAGTGGATTGTATTTGAATGGAAAGCTGGTATCTCCCCTTCTCTGTTCAAAGCCTAGACTTTCCTAGGCACTGCTCACATTTCCAAGTGCATTTCTGACTGATCATCCTTGCTGGCTACTGGCAGAGGCAGACCTGCTGTCTTTTCCTCCAAGCCTCCAAAACAGAGCTCCAAGCTCTCGAGGCCTGCGTTTCCATCGGCATGAACACTGCACTGGCATGCACTCTGTCCCCCCAGCAAGAAGCCGGTGTCCGCCTGCTCTCCCTGCTCCGTCCAACAACTGGCCAGCTCTTGGAGTCACCCCCCAAACACCACACACCTGCACCCCCTTCCGCTCAAAAGGAGTATGTTCGTTTTCTTCCTGAGAAGAATCACCTCGTATTTCAGGCCTAATTAAATCCCTCATACATGGGCCTGTTTTGAACCCAAAAGTGTGCTCTTTTTTTGGGTGCAGGAAACATTACCCCGAAATGACCTCTAGCCAGGCTGGTTTGGGATGCTCATAAGTAATCCCATGACACAATAAAGGAAGCAAAGAAATTTTACACAGACATGGCTTTTTTACAATTCCAAATATTACATAAAAACAAGCCTTTAAAAGATTGCTAACTTGCAATAAATAGGTTGGGATTTGTTTTTGTCATTTTCTGGTTTGATAGCACTTTGGTTCATAAATACTGTTAACAGCACCCATTTCTGAAAAACACTGAATGTTTACAGTACATTGTATTTGAGATGTGTTTAATAATGTGGAGGAATTAGTACATAAGAGCTTGGCATGAAACAAGTGTTCACGGTTCACCGTTGTAGCAGCTGAGTGGTGAGTGCCTGTGTGCTCAGTTTCCCTGCTGTCACTCGGAGGCACTGAATCCTCAAAGTGTGTGCCGTGCATGTAGCACATGGTCAAAGAAAAGGCCTTCAATATCAAGGGGGACAGGAGAGAGCCACTTGCCACTTGTTTGAAGCTTACGTAAAAGTGGAATGGTGCTTAGATGAACCTTTCCCATCAGGGCATCCCGTAACGATTCAAAGGTACCTTCGCTGTGACAATAGAAAGGAACTCAGACACCACAGCTGGGTGTGCCCACTCGTGACGATCCCGAAAAGGCAAAACAACTCTGGTGCCAGGAAGATGGACGGGTGCTGGGAGAATTGCCTGCCGTGGGGCTTGCAGACACATTTGAGTGGTGGGAGTGTTCTGTGGCTTGATGGGGTGGGACTACACTTGTCAAAAACTGCTCCAACTTCACGTTTAAGATGGGTGCATTTCGTATGTGAATGTTCTTCCCTAATAAAACTGATGTACCAAAGTGCTCTTTCTACTTAGGAGGCGGTGGGAGTGGTGTGTTTTGAGAATTGTACTTGCCAACTCAAAACAATAACAGGTGCTGAACGGCCTGAAATTCACGTAGGTTCTGTGAATACCATTTTTTACTGGATATGTGAGTGGAAGAATTCGTATTTCTAAACATGTACTGTTTTAACATGTGATCCTATAACGCAGTGGTTCTCAACCTATGGGTCGAGACCCCTTTGGGAGTCGAACGACCCTTTCACGGGTCGCCTGATTCATAACAGTAGCAATGAAAATAGTTTTATGGTTGGGGGTCACCACAACATGAACTGTGTTAAAGGGTCAAGGCATTAGGAAGGTTGAGAACTGCTATACCGTATGTGTAACTTGATAAACAGTTATATGTGGACACGCAATTGCATCTCAAAATGTAAGTCATGAAAACCCCGGGTGATCTTAGTGTAAAAATGGAGCCACTTTCATTCACTGCCCTCTTCCCACCACCATCCTCCTTATCAGGCCTAGATAAGGTCAGGTACCCCTGGGACCTTTATCCTACTGAAGGACTGTTGACATTTCCCTGTGGTTGATTTGCTTCAGGAATGGGAACTTGGGGACTGATGGACCTCTTCCTGCTGTGTAGGTGGCTTTGAGGGATGGAGGGAGATTCCCAAGGAGAGGAGCAAGGGCAGTCTAGCAGGTCTCTGGCAGTGGCTTACAAGAGCCTGAGCACCAGCCCTAGAAGAAGGACCCAGCTCTCCAGCGTCACATTTTGAGTCGTGCTGTGGGCACCAATCAGAAAGGTAGCATTGTCTCTGAAGAAGGCAGAGTCCCTGTGTAGGTTTGCCTCAAGTGATACACCCAGGTGCAGAGGAGACAGGAGGACGTAACCTAAGGAATGAGACCCAAGCACTCCGTAGAAGACAGGTACATTCTGAGGCCAGAGTTCTGGGCCTGTGAGCACAGCTGGACGGAGCTGAGGTGCAGCCTGCCCTGCTCACAAACCCAGGCAGAGGCTGGTCAGACAAACTGCTGAGTAAAAATGGTATCAAAACCGCAAGTCTATAGATCTGCTTGCCTTAGATGTGTGCACGGCGCTTCACTGAGCATGTTCTTTGATACTATGCTATCCCAAGGTCATTACGAGGAACAGACCCATGACAGGAGTGTAGTGTTTGCTACTAATCTGCTGAAAACCTTCACTATTTCAAACATTTTCATGTAAGAAAGAAGAGCTTTTGCCTTGTCTGCCCACAAAGCTCATGCCGCACTGGGCATTAAGTCAAAGCTCTAGTTCGTGTCACAGATGCTTCATATGGACTCCATAGCCGGTGTCTGTGTTGTTAGGTGCGACACAGTTGGTTTGGACTCAGTGACCCCGCACACAAGGGTGAGAAACATCGCCCTGCACCGTGCTCAAGATCGTTCCTGTGTCTGAGCCCACTTGCAGTGCAATGTTTCTGACCTGCCTTGGGAGCCTTGGTGCCATGGGCCGCAATTCGCATAGTCAGCAGTTTGAAAGCACCAGCAGCTCCTACGGAGAAAGACAGCAGTCTTGGAAACAGGGTCGCTATGAGTCGGAATTGACTGGATGGCAGTGAGAAAGAACTCAACATTGCTTCCAATGAACTAGAATACCAAACACCTGGGGTGGGAGCTTAGCATCACAAGACTCCCATTCAAGGAAGGACGTGTTGCCTCAGTCCCTGGGAGATCTGTCATCTCAGCTGCATGCAGTTGAAGAACGTGGTGAACTTCCAAGGAAAGTCTCCATCCCATGACTTGGGCCATGAGTGGAGTGAGCCACTAACTATGACCTTAAAGGCCCAGCCACTTCAGCCCAATGTTGGGCAGTGCACCCTGGGTGTGGGGAGGGGATATGACTATCGGGCCTACCTTCTGTGTTTGCCTTTTCTCAGTGTGGGTCCTGGGGGCTCTCATCAATAAACGTGCTGCACACACTTGCTGCCTCAGATTGAGCTTCCAGACATCAGCTACAGATGAAACTAATGAACCCATCAGCTCTTGTTACAGAGAGGAGTGAGGAGCCGAGACCCTTCACAGGCCCATGCATCGTGACAAAATCATTAGCGTTGTGGCCTTCTGCAAGCCCCTCAACCTCTCTGTACCTCCCTTTTCTCGTTTGTAAAATGCCAGACGAGTACTTACAGGGTTGTGACAAGTCATCCCGTGTGAATAAACAGATGGTGTTTATTATGGATCAAGTCCTCAGTGAGGAACACCTGTGAGACCAAGGGCATGGACAGCCAGGCAAGACTCCTCCCTGGAATCCAGACAGGCACCAGTGGAGGCCGGGGCTTGTTGAAGCACGATGTTCTTCGCAGAAATAGTCCCGAGCAGGGCTAGCCTGGTGATGTCACGGGCGTGTGCCAGTGTGGGTGCTGGGGCAGCTCCCTGAGCCGGCACAGCTGCATCAACTGCCAGGAACACCACCCACGCACCATATATATGCTGAGCTGGGGGAAGCCTGTAGCAGTTGCGCCCTGCTTTTCCAGAGCCTACACTTGAGGGGAGAGGCACCTGAGGCCTGGGATGCTGGTCCAGAGGTCCCAGGAGGAAGTGAGACGAGGCCCTGGCAGCAGACTTAATGCAATCTGTTGGCAAAGAGCCTAGCCCCAGAGGCAACAGCACAAGCAAGGATGCATGGGCGTCCCAGGAAAATCCCAGAAGATGGAGAAATATTTAGAGCGTATCTCCTCAGCTGCCAAGTCAGCAGGGAGGCCTGGAAAAATGGTTTAAGATCTGGCCAGGCATGGACGGGGGGCTACTCAGCTCCCATCTGCCAACCTTCATTGTCCCTCTTGCTCTCCCTCACTTGCTACACTGCAGCATTCTGTGAAACTCCCCATGCTCTTGCTGGACTCAGGGCCTTTGTACATGCTGTTCCCTATGCCTATGAAACACTCCTCCAGCACTCTAATCATTCCTCAGACCATCTGCTCACATCTTTGAATTATCAACTCAGTCCCAAAGACGTCCCCCCTGTCTTCCTGTTAGGGACCATTGGGGCGGTTCTAACTCCTAGTTAGTCCTGCGCCATCCCCATAACCGTTGCTGATTGACACCCCATTTGTTGCCCACTATATCAGCCATTAGGTGCCCTGATGGTGTAGTGGTTACAAGTTGGGCCGCGATTCACATGGTTGGGACTTTGAAACCACCAGCAGCATCTTGGGAGAGACTCCTGTAAACAGTTACAGTCTCGGAAACCTACAGGCTGTTGCTGTGAGTTGGCATTGACTAGAGGGCAGTGAGTGATTTGGTTTGGGATCAGCCAGTAAGGGTCTTCTCTTTCGTGGATTCCCTACTTTCCCAGGCCAGGTGTCCCGACTCGAGATTGGTCCCTCCTGATAACATGCCCAGAGTATGTAAGAGGAGGCCTAGCTCTGCGTCCTTCTAAGGAGCTTTCTGGATGTCCTCTGTCCTCACCCACTGCAGTC